ACTTTCTTTCAACCAAATCTTCCCACATTTGCACATACTGCACGTCCACTTCCTTAATCATGAAGCCCTTAGGTTCTGACAGCATGAAACTCTCTTAATAGAGCTTCAGGTCTATGGACCATGACAAAGGTACAATGACTAGATCTCAAACTAGAGCACAGTTTCAGTCAAACTAAAGATAACATCTTGCCCCCAGTTATGTTTCAGCCCCAGACCTGCAAAAGCAGGATCACCCCATTGACCACATCCTCACAAAACCAGACAGGATGAAGCCATGGCTGACATCAAGACCTGATGCCATGATCAACTACTTCCTACCCTAGCCTCAACCAATCCGTACTGCCCACTACCCCAACCCCCTTCGTTACCAGGACTAATGATTTTTTTCCCTAGAGTCCGCCAGGAAGCCAGATCTTTGAGCACTAGCTCACCTGTGTCTCTGGGCTTGGTGTCAATTCCCTAAGTAAACCTCTACCTTCTTTGCTGCAACTCCTGTTCATGTCTCATTTGGCTTTGACGTGCGCAAGCAAACATACTCCTTTAGTGCAGTAACAAGAGAAACATGTCACTTTCTAGGTAACCCTACTGTAAAAGGCTATAACTCAGGAACAGCCAGATGGAAAAGGTGCATAGGGCAAGTTATGGGGAAGGGGCGCGGAGTACCCATGGTCTCCCCAACTGCACCATTTTTCCTGAATCTTCATGTGTTCACTACCCTGGAAGTTCTCCAAACCCCTTCCTTTTGGGTTTTTACGGAGTCTTCATGACATAGTCATGATTAATGATTGATTCAACCTTCAGCCTCTTCTCTCCCTAGAGGTTAGGGGTGGGACTGAAAGTACTAACCCTCTAATCATGGTTCCTTCCCCAGGGAACCAGCACCCATTCTAAGGTTAAGGAGGGGGACTTTCCGAAACTCACTTCATTAACATAACAAAAATACCTTAATCACTTTCAACACCTAGGAAATGCCAAGGGTTTTAGGAGCTTTTGTGAGGGGAAAGGGAATAAGACCAAATACATATTACTTATAAGTCACAGTATCACACTCCCATCCCCTCTTGCCAAGCCCCTGGCAATTAGCATTCTACTTTCTGTCTCTATGAACTGAATTTGATTACTCAACGTGCATCATTTAAGTGGAATCATGAAATATTTATCCTTTTGGGAATGGCTTATTTTGTTTAGCATAGTGTCTTCAAGGTTCATCCATGTTGTCACATGAGTCAGAATTTCCTTTCTTTTTAAGGCTGCATAATACTCCGTTTCGTGTGTATACCACATTTTGCTTATCCACTCATCCATGGGTGGACATTGGGGTTGTTTCTACCTTTTGACTATTGTGAATAATGTTGTACACCTATGAACATGTGTGTACAAAGCCTTGAATTTCTAAAAGAGGCTTTTATTCACACTTTGAAAGCTTCAGTAAAAGACAATTGTTTATAGTAAAGGTAGAGCTTTTTTAAAAATTTTTTGTAATGTGGAGTCTCTTGTCAGGCTAAGAAGGAAGAATCAGCAGGCTAGAAAAGGGAGGTCAGAAATTTAGAAGAATTAAAAGCAGCAATCCTTTGAAATATAAATAAGGATTTTGGTTTTTTCTTTCAATGAAGAGAAGATGGCAATTCAATTCAAATGTTAAAAGAATAAAAAGCCAGTTAGGAAATAGACAGAATAGATGCTTTGGGATGTACTATTTAAGCGTTCACTGCTGATCTTAGCAAGAACCATTTTATTCCATTAATTGTGGAGACAGATGCCAGATTGCAAAGGCCTAGGGAGTATTTGATGAAGATTTGGAAACAGTAAGTAGACGTTCCTTTTTTGAGACGTTTCAAGGAATGAGAGGAGAAGGAGCGAGCCAGGCATTGGCTACAGAGGGGACTGGGAGTAAGAGGAAACTAATGTTCCAGCTTCTAAACAGCATCTTGTTTGATCATCAAAGCAATCCTCTAAAATGGCTTGTGTTTCATTTTCAACTGAAGAATCAGAGCATTGAAGAGGTTAAGTAACCTGTTAAGTAAGCAAGATTAGAATCCAAGACTGTCTGACTCCTGAGTACTGTCATACACCTGGAGCACCAAAGGAAGGTTGTTTTAGGATGGGGAAGGAAAGACGATTGTAGACTTAGGGAATCAAGCTCTCCTTTATTGTCATTCCATACAACCCCTCTGACTGCCTTCTGTATTTACTTATCGGGTATCCTGACACCCGGACTCCAGCACTCCGTCAACATCCCCAGAAGAGAAGCACTTAAACCCAATCACCTTTTCACCATTTCTCCCTCCCACCCCAGTCCTTCCTTCCCAGTATGCACTGCACCCACCTTCCTAACCATTTTCCTCTGCCTCATATCTCTGGTTTAGTCTTGCTTGCTTGGCAACACTCATGGCTGGAGAGAAATGTACACCCACTCATGATAGGGAGTCACATGTGGACCTTGACAACTGAAGAGCAATTGTCCCATTTCTCTCATCTGTTCACTCTCCTACTTGTCTAGGTGACTGTCACACATGTTTTCTTCTGTGCCAACCTCACTTTTATTATTATTATTATTATTATTATTATATTATTATTTCATTATTTATTATTTTGTTTTTCCATTATTTTCTTGCCCCATCCTCAATTTTAGCTGAAGACCTTACTTCCTATTCCACCAAGTTTAAATATAGCAACTCAAGTAACATTGTGATCTTGATAAGAGGCGTTTCTATAGAGTGCTGAGTATAAAGCTGAATTAGGGTGGGCTTAAGAGAGAAAAGAAAGGAGAAGAACTGGAGACAGTAAGTATAGACAAGCCTTTCCAAAGAAGCCATCCCAAATAATCAAATTTTGAAACGGAAGTGAGGACAAGATCATTAATCTAGGTACTGGCCATCCAGCATTGCAAAAACCCATGCCCCCAAACACCCTTCGAGCCACAGAATTCTTCTCTTGGGTCCTGCTCAGTCCTTACAAAGAGATCCTGGGATGAGGAGGTAACAGCTGGAGGGAAAGTCTCCAGGAATAAGAAGGAATTTCCTTTTTTATTGAGAGCAACACTCCAGTCCCACCCCTTCCTTCATTAATGGAGGCCCCACGGCTGGATTCCGGATTATCCTGGAGGTTTTATTCAGTTGTCACCTAACCCAGAGTCTGAAACGACCCCCACTCTCCTACACAACTGTGTCCCCTTAGCCAGCTTGAGACATCTTCCCTCTAGGCTAGTTCAAATTCAAAGCCAGGTGTGCCTTGGTTTTAGTGGAGGTAATTAAAATGAGGCTTAGCCGTTAGCAGTGAATTCCCTTTGCTGGGTGACTCCCAGGGAAGAATATGGACTCAGAACCGACTGTGACATTGAAAGCGGTTCCTTATTCTGCTGCTCCCCAGTGCTTCTGGGAAAAGTGTCAGGGTGAGGAAAGGTAGACTTCGTGTGGCAGACGCCTGCCCACCAACCCCAGGGTTTATATGTCAGAGGGCATCCGGCACCACTTGCAGCACTGTGCAATCCTTACCTCTAAACTCATAGCAAACAGGGATTATTGTTTTAGCGGTTTTGAGGGGTTGATCCACATCTAGTCAATTCTGGGATTGACGTTCATCTGTGGCTCTGCAATCCACTTCTAGAGGATGCTTCTATTATTTATTAATGCAGGGGAACTTCGGCGAGGTCATGAGGGCTAGAGGGTCTCTTGATTAATGGTTTAACCTCGTTTCACCTTACTGTCCTCCCTGTCTTCCCACTTCCCAATAATTTTGTGGTTCAGATAGGACACTGGTGAGGGCCTGCATGGAAGGCTAAGGGGTGATTAACCAATTGGTGTAAATTACCAGTTCATCATGACAGTGACTTGAGTTAGGTGGGGTTTGAAGATTGCAGCAAAGCGTGGTCAGTAGAAAGCGTGTTTTCTTCTAGAACAAGGTCCTTTCAACATGTAGTCCAGTGTTGGAGAGTCCCAGGCCATAGCCAGGTAGGTGAATCTGCAGGAGGGTTTCCTGCCTCCCTCTGCCAGGGCAGTAGGCGTGGCTGCCACTTTCCTCCTGCGGACTCTGTGGCCTTCTGTGGTCTTCTGTCCCTTACGGTGGTTGAGGAATTGGATCCTTCTGTGTTAATTTTATGCTCTACTCCACCAGGTTAAAAGCTTATAGGTTTTTTAGATCAAGTATCTCTGACTTGTTAGTGTGCTTAACTGGGTGGCTGACTGATAGAAGTCAATGTACTTGTAAAATTTTTTTTGTTGGTTTGTCTTTTTAGGTTATGCAAATGCTTGGCGTATTAATCTTGTTATCTTAGCCTCTGGCTGAGCTGATGGTAAGAACCAAGCTACTTATTTGATTTGATTTGTTAATTACACAAATCTCTTTTCTATGTGTGCGCATTACATTACTGTGTGATAAAGAATGTTGTCTGTCAAGAGAGTGGAGAGTCTAAATTTGGTGGTCAGGGAAGGCTTCCTGGAGGGTGTGACATCTAACCCAGCCCTAAAAGATGGGTAGGAGTTATCCAGGTCAAGAAGGGGAAGGAGAGGGTTCCAATCAGAAGGAACAAGAGGATATGTTGGAAGAATTGAAATGCAAGAACACGCAGGAGCCCCATGGGCGAGGGTGGCAGGAAATGGGACGAGAAGGAGCTGGAAACATGGGCAGAGGCCTTGGTGTCAAGCTAAGATGATAAGACTTTATCTTAAGCTAAGATAAGGGCATTAAACATTTTAAGGAGGGAAGTGCTGTGATCAGATTATAGTTTAAGAAAGATTACTCTTAAGATACGCCTTGCAAATGTTAAAGAAGGACAGTGAGATGATTGGATTTTCCTTTTAGAAAGACTCTCTTGTCTGAAAGCTGCTAATGAGGTCTAGCTAAAGAGGGTGCCCGTGGAAGATTTGAAGTAGGAGAGTGACAAGATGAGATATGCATTTTAAGAGAATCACTCTTCTAGAGTAGCTTAAAAAGCATCAACAGAGAAGTAACTGGGGAGCCAGAGAAAACCTAGAATCAAAGTTGAAAGTCAAACCTTCACCATGTCCTGTGTCCGCTTCATTTGCCAGTGCTGCAGCCAGCCCCTGAAGCTGAATCAATCTGCCCAGACCTTGGGCCTTGACACCAACCAACAACCTGTAGCTTCCAAGCTCCCCTCAGCTCAGGGGGAGCCAGGGAAAACCCTGGGGGAAGGCCCTACCTCTGGGGTGGAGACAGATACTGAAGAGCTACAGGACAGTGCCTCTTGCAGGCCCCTCCCTGGTGATGGCAGGATATTCAGGTACAATTCCCACATTTTTACCCTGCTTGGCAAGCTGGGCTCTGGGAGAACTCTCCATAGTATCCAGAAGACCACTAGGGGCCTTTTTGACATCCTTTCGGGTGAAGAAGATCTGGCCCACCCCCTGTGTCAAGACTGTACTGACAGTCTTTTAGAGCAGCTGGACACCCAACTCACTATCTCAGAATCTGACAGTCAGAGCTACAAACACTGTTTGGAGACCTGGGAGAGCATAAGTGAGGATGAGAGGGAGATGCTGCAGGAGGAGCTGAAAGACTTGGAGCTGGAGGAAGCGAGGCTGGTCCAGGAGCTGGAGGAGGTGGAGAAGAGCCGAGAAAGAACAGCAGTGGCTCTTGAGGCAGCCCAGGCAGAGACGGAGACGTTGGACCAGCAGGAAAGGCAGGACCAGAGGGAGTACGGTAAATTGCAGTGGCAACAACTGGAACTGCAAGATGAGCTGAGGAGCATGGAGAACCGGCTGCGGTATGCCCAGACCCAGCTAAACTGGCTGGAGAAAGCCAACGCCTTCAGGTCAACGTTTGAGATCCGCCATGATGGCCCCTTGGCCATCATCAATAACTTCAGGTTGGGCTGCCTCCCCACTGTCCCCGTGTGCTGGAACGAGATTAACGCAGCCTGGGGACAGACAGCCTTGCTGCTCAGTGCCCTGTCTCATTCAATTGGACTGGAGTTTCAGAGGTTTCAACTCATCCCCTGCGGAAACCATTCCTATCTGAAGTCGTTAACAGACAACACCACTGAGCTGCCGTTGTTCTGCCACAGTGGGCAGAGTGCTTTCTTGTATAACAAGTTTGACCAGGCGATGATGGCTTTCCTGGACTGCATGCAGCAATTCAAGGAAGAGGCC